AGGTTGAGAAGCAGGGGGTGGGATGGGGTGGGGGGCTCTTTCAATGAGCCAGTCTAATTTGCTTTCCACTTGTATTTATTTATTTAGCTGCAATTTGGTAGGACACTCTGTTCTGTGGAAGGCAGGCTGCCCACCAATACATATTCCTTTCAGTGAATAGCAACAAATTACAAGCACTAAAATAGGATAAAAGGTATACAAGTTTCTTTGATTAAAGACAGACTGGGATGTGGTGACTTAACTGCTTGAGTTAAATTTCCATTGTAGTTAAATGGGCCAGTAATTTTCCATTATATATTTTGTACTACTGGAAGCTTAATCCTTTCGTTCTGTCCACAAAAGCAGTGTAAAGATGTTATACAGCTAGGGGAAATGTCCCTGCTGCCGCCACCACTGCCTCCACTTCCTGTCTGGTTGTCTTTCAGTATAGCTTAGCTTCTAGAAACCAATGCTATATGTGACCTCCAAACACCAGTTCTTACTTCTTATCTTCTTAATAGTGTGATTCCCTTTCAAATTGTAGGTTCAGCAGCTGCATTCATAAACAAAAACAAAACAAGGATGAGAAACCCATCACTCTCCAGATGTCGCTGAACTACAACTCCTATCATCCCTAACTACTGGCTGTGCTGCTGAGCATGATGGGAGCTGGAATCCAACAACATCAGGAAGGCTGAGGGCTCCCCATCCCTGCAGTAGAAATAATAATAATAATAATAATAATAATAATAATAATAATCAGAAGCCCAGTTCCTCCCTTGTTACTTGGGAGTAAATCCACTTCAGCAGAGGCATTCCAGAGCATAACCACATCATGAAGGAAGCATAAAAAGACTAAGAGGGAATATGTTGAACCACTTCCCTGTTGCATCATCTGTTTAAATTTGACAGTGCAGTTTACCTGGAGCCTAAGAGTCAAAGAACAGATCTAGGAGTTCCAAGTGATAGCCTTTAGGCTTAAATGACCTGAGTCTGCTTCAAAGGCAGTTGCCTGGAGTGCAAAGTGACTGAAATCCGGCTAACAAGGAGGCGACAAGCATTGAATGGGAGCAGAACAATCCCTGGCAAAGAAGAAAGACGGAAGCTGGGATGGGCAAAGCGTTTTGATACATTACAGGACAAGAGGGAGAATTTTAATAGTCTTGCAGATTACTTGTGCCGTTGGGAAGGAAGAACTCAAACCCCCTCTGTCAGAAAAGCTCTGATTCCAACCTTTCTTTGTCTCAGTGGGAAGATTCACTTTTATGAAGTATCTGAGCACACTCTTTTAAACTGAAGGGGATGGAAAGAGCAGTACTCAAAGAACAGGCAGGATTGATTTCATTTTATTACTGGTGTCACCATGTAGAAGAAACAAAATGGCAAAATGGATCAGGGATATTTGAGCTGCTCTTCCAAAATGGTCTTATGTCCCACAAACACTGGCCTAAAGAGAAGCACTGAAGATCAAATTAAAATCCTTTAGGTGCTACAAGTCCACACTGACAATGAGTTTATTTATTTATAAATGTATTTATAAACTGCCCTCTCATAAAACATCTGGGTGGTGTGCAATATTAAAGAAACAATGAAAGGCAGTACAGAACAATAATTAAAACCGGCAGGCTACTCAAGATTTTAAACAACTGTACAGGCCCATGGACATATATAGTTGTATCCAATGGTTGGTGGCATCCAGTATTGCTGTATCATATGGGTTGTACCCAAGGGTGATGTTGCATCAGTAGAAAGCCCCCACTTATTCAGGGCACCCAACTTTTGATTACTCCCCCCATGCACCACAGGCTCTTCTTTCCCTCCCCCACCCCTCTTCCAAAGCTACCCCAGAGGACTGTGTAATACTCCTTAGGGCTGCAATAGGCAATGGGTGTCAGCAAAAAATTGGGTGCTCTTGCATGGCTCTTGCATGGGCAGAAGTTGGGAGAGTGCAAGCAATGCTTAACTCATGAACTGCATCCAATGGTAGCTTTGCACTTTGGGAAAGCCACCATTAGATTCAGCCCCCTGCGCTGGGCTTTGCATGCAGGCTTTACACTCCAACATCCAAGAAGCACATGTGACAATCCAGTTGCAGTGTGCAGGCATCCAGCCAAGGGTCATATAATCCAACCCCATGCAATTCTTTTGTCCAATGTGGGCTCAAACCCAGAACCCTGAGATTAAAAGTGCCATTCTCTACTGATTGAGCTGTCCCAGCTTGTCAAGTTCTTCTACATATACCACTGTTCGGTAGCAACTGTTCAGCAAGGGGCCAGTAAATGGAGAAACACTATGGAGGTGATGTTCCTTCTCCTGGTATTTTATTAGTATCAAAGTGGCACCTTCTGTAATGGAATGAGAAAGACAACGGCATTGTTTTAAAATGGAAGAGAAGGGAAATTGTGTACTCTGAAGTGTGATCTTTTGCATAACTTTTCATTGAAAGCAACAACCAACACAGAAAGGGGGGTGGGAATGCAATAACAACAGTTCCTCTCTCAATTCCCCAGGAGTTAATCTAATCTCTCTCCCACTGCCAATTTTTAAAAGGAAGATTTTTATATGGTTGCATAGCAACTTTGCTCTGCGTTACCTGTTGCGGTGAAGATTTTTCACCCGCAGGAGATAAATACCAATTAAAACACTGCAAACCTGAGTACCAGAATAAAAGTAGATGTCAGACTTCAGACTGACTAGAAGTTTTTTCTCTCTCACACTTGTCTGAGAAGTCATGGAGAAATGTTTCAAGAAACAAAGTTCCTATGGTGAGAATGAGCTCGGAGAACATTATCCACCATACATGCGTAGGGTGGGTTCTTTTTTAAGTTACGTGCTTCAAAAAATAATGGTGGTTGTTATAAAGCTACACACATCAAAGGGTGAACTAACTTGCTTAGCCCTCCCTCCAATCACAGCATGGAGGAAAATATTTCTCAATAGCTTCTGGAAAATATTAGCTAGTAAATCGTGTATTTGATTGTATTCAGCATTCAGTGCTTTGATTTCTAAGTGGTGTACAAATAGAAATAGACCTGCAGAACATTTTCATGGATGAGGAAAAGAGGGGCATGGAGTGTCCTGCACTCGAGTAGGACCCTGGCAGAGACACATGCCCAACTGGCATGTTCTCTCCCTCCTGGTCGATCATTCAGGAGTTTCAAAAGCTTTCTTCAGCCTGAACATCACAGCGACCGATGCCAACAGACAGCAGCACACTTAGGGATCTGCAGAGTCTTTGCAGCTGGCGTAACAGACCTCAGCAACTCAGCATTTTGGCTAATCTACTTTATTTACATATACATACACACGGAGCACTGCAGCATGGCTCCCTCTCTCTCTACCATCAGATAGCAAAGAGAAAAAGAACAAAGGACAAAAGTCCCACTTCACGGAACACAGTAACACAAACATCCTGTCTCCATCACTTCCCACTCTGTGGGGTCAAAACATACACCGTCATGTGAAAGACAAAAATCCCATGACTGCAATCATGGAGCAGGAATTCTAAGAGGGAATAGAAGAGATTCTTCTATCTTTCCCCCAACTATTCCTATCTGTAAGATTCAGGAGTCAACTCTGAGGACAGTCACGGCAGCACCAGGCTTGAGCACAGGCATTCTTCCACTGAGTTTCAGGGGTTTGCTGCCACCAGTACTGCACCACTGCTCAAACTGATTTTAAGGAAGGACTGCAGAGCTCCTACAAAATTGGCTGTGGAGGATGCTCAACACAGGGTATGAAATCCTCCCAGTTGCTGTGGGGTAGAAATTCAATCTGATGTGCATTTTCTGAGAGCCAGTGTGGTGTAGTGGTTAAGAGCGGTAGTCTCCTAATCTGGGGAACCGGGTTCGCGTCTCCGCTCTTCCACATGCAGCTGCTGGGTGACCTTGGGCCAGTCACACTTCTTTGAAGTCTCTCAGCCCCACTCACCTCACAGAGTGTTTGTTGTGGGGAGGAAGGGAAAGGAGAATGTTAGCCGCTTTGAGACTCCTGAAGGGGAGTGAAAGGCGGGATATCAAATCCAAACTCTTCTTCTTCTTCTTCTTCTTCTTCTTCTTCTTCTTCTTCTAGTGCAATTCTACCTAATTCATGCTTCCTGAAACAATATGTGAACCAAAATGTACCTATACTTCGAAGTTTGCACTGCTCTGAATTTTGTAATGTAGTTTCTTCAACCAAAAATTGTGTACAAAAATGCATCTATTATGGGAAAATGTACATTAGATTCCATAGGTTAGTGAAATTTGTTGATTGATTCCAGCCAGATAAAAGCACTCAAGCGGCAGATGGACAGGGCCAGTAAAAGGTATGGCTTGAGAAGAGAGTTGTGGCCTGGAGAAAGTCTTGAGAGCCAAATAAAGATGCCCAGAGGGACACATTCAGCTCCTGGACCTGAGATTCCTCACCTCTGCTCATTATAATGTTATTTTTGAAAGCACCACAAAGACTTGGCTACTTGATTCAACCTGTGAAGTTTTAATGAGTGTCTTCCTCTGCGACAGTAACTCTGAGTCAAAACAAATAAGGTCAATTCTGTCAAGATTTCTCCCATTTCAGGGGCTCATCCTTCCTTGTGCACTGTGTGGAATGTCAGGAGCTTCATTCTTTCTATTTCTGGTGTTCAGGCAAGAGTGTCATTGCTCATGTAACCGAAAACAATCACACTCAAGAGGGAGGCACCAGCATGCTTGGGGGAGCTCCAAGGTTTGCAGAAGAAAACAAATGTATTTGTTTTTTTAAGGCCCTGTGGTGGAACTCCAAAAACAGCTTGGTGCAGACTGGATATGTTCAGTGGCCACAGAATGCTGGCTGTTAGGTGGGAGGGAAGAAAAACCAGGCAGAGGTCAGGTAGTTGCACCTGTTCTGTGGAACGCCCTCTTGTCAGATGTCAAGGAAACAATTATCTAACTCTTAGAAGACATCTGAAGGAAGCCCTGTATAGGGAAGTTTTTAATGTTTGATGTTTTACTGGCCTTAATTTTTTTAAAAAACATTGTAGGAAGCTGACCAGAGTGGTTCAAGCAACCCAGTCAGATGGTTGGTGCACCTGGCTGTTAACCAGAAGGTTGGTGGTTCAAGCCCACCCAGGGGCTGCTGTGGGCAGGATCCCTGGATGCCAGAGGGTTGGACAAGATAATCCTTGGGGTTCCTTCCAACTCTACAATTCTATGATTCAATGATGATAATGATGATGATGATGATAGGAAGAGGAGAAATGGAATGGATTGAATGGCTGGCTGGCTGGAATAGTGAACAGGAGCACTCTGCATTGGAGCATGTTGCTGCAAGACCCACCCGCCAGTAGGGATCGTGGGGGAGGGGATTTGATTCAGTTCACATTTAAAGGTGAACCTACCAAATCTGCATGCTCCAAAATAATAAATGATCCAAAACACAGGCATCCTTTAAAGTTCACACTTCTCTGAATTTTGAGATGCAGTTCTCCAGCCACGTAATGTGTACACAAATACATATGTTACAGTAAAGTGTCCATAAAAATGCATATGTTTATGAAAATAGCATACAAAATGCATGCTGCTAGGCAAAATTGCTTGCAAAAATGTGTGTATTAGTCACAACCGCATACAAAAATGTATTTATTAGGTGATATCAGTACCTAAATGCTGGAAGATCTTCATGAGGATTTTTATTTAAGAAAATCAGATTGTTGTGAAAATGTGGAAAACTGAATTTAAGATCGGAAAAGGTCGTCTCCAGGGTGAAAAGGGGCAAGCCAGGGCTTCCCCGACCTTAAGTGGCCTTTCTAAGGCCCGCCCCTGCCGCCAGCCAATTGGCTGGCGCCACAGGGGATGCTAATTGGGGGAATCTCTGCCTCCCGCGAGGCTGGCGCCAGCCTCGGGAGAGCGAGAGTGGGCGGGGTCGTGATCCCACAACCCCCCCTCCTCCTGACGATCGGAAGGGGCAAACTGAATTTAAGATCGGAAAAGTGAGAAACTGAGAGAACCAAAATCGTCAAATCCACTGTTCTAGATATAATTCCTATTCCAAATGTTATATAGTTTATGGATGGAATCCTGCAGTACCCAGCTGTGTGGTTGAATAAGAAAGGCATCTTATAAGAAAGCTTTAAATGCAAATTTTATAAAAGCAGCATATGACTGAAGCTGGTTTTATTCAGCCTCTAAAAGCCAAGCATTTGGTGTATGTGAATAATTCAAAAACAGCCTCCAACAAATTTTCCCGGGTCTACATGGAAACAAAATGAACTCTCTAGAGCCTGCCACTCTTCTTATTACAGCCCAGATCATGCTGAACACTCTTTCCTCTGGGTTTTATTTTATTTCTTTTTTTAAAAAAATAAATATAAAATATGTTTTTATAATAAATGAGCGTTCAGGAAGGATATGCAGATGATAACATTTACGATGAGACCCTACAGAGAAAGAGTTTGATTTGAAATTCATTTTTTAGTTGTTAATTATTCACCAGCACGGATCGTGCAACTGGATAAAAATTAAAAATTAGCAAATTAGTTTTCATTTGTCTATGTAAATTATTTAGCGTTCCTCCATTTTATTATGAAAACACACAGGGATAATTTGAAGCATTCAGCGTATTTGGAGGGTTTGCGCTGGCTAGAGTGCATCGTGATGCAAATTAATACTGTCTGGTGGTAAAAGAAACTTTAAAAGAAAAAGTGGAAAGAGTAGGGGGAAATGTTAAATTGGGGAGTGCTGTTGCACCCGGGTCTTGCTTGTGGGCTTCCCATAAGCATCTGACTGGCCACTGGGCAAACAGGATGCTGGACTGGGTGAGCCTTTGGCCTGATCCAGCAAGCTCTTCTTATGGTCTTATGTTTAGGCACCGTGCAGAGCCATCCTATGAGTGGACGGGTTATGCTCCATGATGCTGATGGAACGACTACAATTTCCTCTATGTGCTCAGCCTGGAAGGACACTGTGATGATGTTTAAATGACCCTTCAGCTCAAAGATTCCCAGGGCACTATACAGTATTTAAGATGAAGTGCAACATAAAATCCTAAAAATGTGAGAAACGGCCATCATTAGAATACAGTACTATAGAACGTATGACCTAGCAGCAGACAGACAACACACATCCATGTCCAAAAGCCTGAAGAAAAATATGCATGGTGTCATGGACTAATTACACAGCTGTGGGGAAGCAGGGACCTTCAGTCTAAGCAAGACCTACCAGGGCTGAGCTGCTGCGCTCATTAGGCATGACAACTCCGTCAATTCTGTGCAGATTGTGTTCTTGCTAGCGAAGAGTTAACTCCAACTTGCACAGTGTGATTTACTGCCAGCTCACTCCTGACTGGTGGTCATTTGACATCAAGAAGCTGTAATTTGGGGGACAACCGTTATCTTCACCAGGAGGGAATTCCAAGAATGCCTTGTCCCATATCACCACCATCACCCAACATGGGGGGGGGGGAGATGATGATGATGATGATGATGATGACACCACTGTCATCAACAGGACGACTGACAAGGTGTCCCCTGGAAATATTAAGGCAGGGGGCAGTAGATAATGGAACTGGTACTCCTTCAAATCCTTGTGTCCAAGCTCAACTCCTTGAAAAACCCACAAGTAAAAAGAAATAAAGAAGCTTAATTCTTCTAAGCAGTTACACAAACATTAAAATATTTTTTTAAAAAAATCTGCAATAAAAATATGCACTAAACAATCCCATTAAAACATTAAAATATAAACACCCATAATTAAAATATGCAATGAAACTATCCCTATAATACAGTATAGCATTTCAAGCAGAAGACTCAGGTTGAGTGGTCAAGGGGATATACCAGTGTACACTGGTGCAGTGTGAGAATAGGATTACACCCTAAATTACAGAAGTGCAGTCAGCCACCTCTTTGCTGAATTATGAAAAAGAAGCTGATCCATGAAGGAGGCCAGTGGTTGCAAGAGTCTTTCCCTTCAGAACAAAGGACTGATTACGACACGGAAAGAACAACGGGAGGAGTGGTAAAGATCAAGGAAATTAAAGGCCTTTGTTAGATTGGACACTTGAAGTTACATATTATTAATAAATTAAAGAAAACCGGCAAGATGGAATCGGGGAGAAATTTGGTCATGAATTGAGACTTCCAAGCTGATAATGCATAGACTGATGGATATGGGAATTCAAACCGGGAAGGGGGAGATTTGAAATCCAAAGGCTGTGTAACCATCTTTTGAATTTTTCTATATCATTTATTTTTTATTTTTACATAACTTACGCATGTCATTTTATTTTGATTGGACGTGTTTAAAAAAAGGGAATTCGTGGAAGGAACTGGGGTGGATCTTGGGGAAAATCTTTTTTCTCTTCTTGTTAATGATGTGGGACGGTGGTAAGATTTGTATAATTCAATTTGGATAGTGGGCTAAACAAATTAAGCTTCAAATTGGGAGTGAGAGCTTGTAGAACTAAATTAAGGAAAGGGGAATACAGTCGGGGGGGGAGGGGGAGAGTCCCAGAAAGTAGGCAATGAAAGTAAGGTTTTTAAATATCTTTTTTTCTTTTTCTTTTTTTTCTTTGTATTTTTATATCTTTGGAAACTTTAATAAATATGATTTAAAAAAAAAAAAAAAAGCAAGAGTCTTTCCCTTCGCCTATTTAAATATTGATGCATTCTTCCTAAGTGTATTTCTCCTCAATCTTTAATACAAAAGCTTTGTGTTCTGCTCTCTGTCATGCTGAGAAAAGTTCATCCCCGAGAAACTTCTGACTTCAAATTAAGATGCATTCATTCTCCTGTGCATGACTCCGGCCTCCGTTACATAAAACAGAGTGCCACTGTGGGTGCAATCTAGCTCCATTAAAATCAAACAGAGTTGTATAATAGCTTCTAGTCATTATGATCTACAATAGAAAATGAGTTGATGTGTTGAAGCAGCTGGTGGACTAGAACCAGGAAGACCTGGGTGCAAATACTGTGTGCATCCATGAAGCTTACTGAGTGACCTCAGGCCAGTTGCGCCCTTTGGGTGTCTCCATTATAGAGCTGAGCCTTTCCAGCAGGGCAAGGATTTCTCCTTGCACAATGCAACATTATTTCCCTCTTTCCCCCCTTCCCAATCTGTTTCTGGTATTTTCCACCCTAAACCCTCCAGAGAATATTTAGAGATGGTGCAGGGTGTGCGCCAGGGAAGTAAGAGGGGGCAAAATCCTTAGGCACTAGTGCATATTTAATTGAACACCATCCTCTTAGTCTAACCTATTCCACAAGGGATCATTCCTTATAATGATACAGTCGGAGTACACACATTATGTACACTACCCAGAGCTCCATGGAGGAGTGCAGATGAAGGGATGGGGGACCATTAGTGCTCATTTATTTTCATTTTTTAGACAAAAAAAACCCCATACAATAACATGGAAGAGGTAAGCCACAGTGAAAAGAAAATGAGATGTACGTACGTCACCCCTCACACAAACTTATATAAACACCTGAGACGTCTATTTTCAGGACACATTTTCATGGTGGTGAGGTTTTTAAATCTGTTTTTAATGTTGTACTTTAAATTGTTGTAACCCACCTTGGACCTTAGGGCGAAGGTCAGGTAATTAATAATAACAGTAATGATATGAGCTGGTGTAATTAGGTCTTGTAAAACTGATGCTTGTCAGCATATGGGGGCAGAGTTGATATCTGGCTTTGATGAACAGCCTTATTCTGTTTATAACCATATAAGAATAAATGAATGGCTGTCATCCCCTCCACCTTTTTTACAGGTCTCTGGGGACACATTCTGTATTTTTAGGCTGCATTCCTAACTCTACTTGCCTGGGAGTAATCCCTGCTGAATTTAATAGGATTTCTAAGTAAACATGGTTCAGGCTGTATAGTTAACAAGTTATAAACTTTGCATATGTTGAGTGTATTAGATGTATCTGGGACCTTAGTAAATGCATCTCCTAATTTTCTGGGTGCAACTTCTATGGGGCAGTTGTGGCTGGGTCCATTGAGACTGGTAGGATGGACTGCAGAGAGCCAAGTACCAGTAACAGGCAGAGCCAACTAATTCTCATTTTGTCCCCACCCTCCTCTCTGCTGAGTTGTACAAGGGCAACACTGAGACTTAGGAGTAGGATGCTGAAAAGC